TATGGTACTAATTTTACCGCGCCTCTACCGCTTTCCCAGAATTTCTAGCAGTAAATACGTCCCGGGCGACCTAAGCGAGGTCTTCCAAGCTTTTATATGCGTTCCGAAAAGGTGAATAAGAACATGCTAGGACGAACCATTAACCCCTCTCACAACAGCTTGAAGCTTCCATAAAATCCATCTCAGTTCCGACCAAGTCTACTCTCTTCTATTCCAACCACCCCTCGATCCTGCTCGACCAACTGTCATTACGACGACTAACCACAATCATCGTTGAGATCTTAAATCTAACTTCGCTCCTCTTTGGATAAATCGTGCTACTTTCGGAACTTCTTGCATTGTTTGCAGCATTTTGCAGATTACCTTCCTGCAGGTTTCGAGATTCCGCGGCCAATTCAAAAGGTAAGCCGTCGTCATTCTCTCTCCTCACCCTACCATACCTACGTACAACCCCCCCAAGCACTAATTACGCTCCTACACAATACTTCATTCTCTAATGCCCCTACCCTCGTATTACAGCATACCAGTGAGCTCCCTCTGAGATCATACTTGGTGCGAAGGCAAGATCTCGCATTTATTTCAGTTGTCAGAAATTGCAGCTCGCGAGGCACCAAGACTGAAACCACATTCGATCTTCTTCTTTCTTTTCACAAATGCTCACACTAGCCCTCGAATGAACAGCTTCCAAAATGCAAATATTAACAGCCTGACTAGTCCTACTATCACGTCCATACTTAAATTCTTCTATAATCTTACCTCTCCCACGTTCCTCCTTGAAATATCGATTTCATAACCCCAAGCACATCAAAGGTAAATCTGCAATTTACTCACTCTCCTCAAGCCATCGCTTTATTTACAGTACATACCCATATATTATTGTCAATTGCCTCCCAATGTCGCACAAAACACTTGTTTATGCCTTCCTTCTTCCAATTCCTCACCTAAGAGTGGTTTGGATCTTTTAAATGGCTTGATAAGACCCCTCGCAGATTTTCACACTACTCTGACTTCATGAGAAGAATAGCATTTGTTGTGCCATTTACCTGAGAAGTGCAACTGCCTTTGCAGGGATCCAACGCTATCACATATAAAAGTACAAAGATCCGCTTGGGCAACTAGCACACAATTTCTCTCTATTCTCTCCATTATCTATTCATACTCTTCTACACACCCGCAATCAACATAAATCTCCCTCAAGATTTGTTGTGTTCTTTCCATTTTCTAACCACATCATCATCTTTCTTTATTTCTTTAATTAATGTTGCTGTCAATCACCCAAAGTTGTTGTCGATGACCTCATCATCTCATATTCGTAGTCTCTCGGATACTTCCCTTCAAATGACGGCTTTTGATTCTCGGGCAAAGTCATCTGATCGCCTGATTATTATGAATCGTCTCTTCTGTCCTCTACATGACTATTACTCTTGCTGACTTAGGTTTTCCAGATTGATCTTTCCGGAAGTCAGAATGTCTGACAAGACCTTAAAGAATAGCAAGATTCGAGAAGCTCCGCGAATAAACAGCAGCAAGCTGGCACAAAGGCAAATAAATTGGTTTGAGCAACCGGATGATGAGAAAGTATTCGGTGCTCATGGACCTCGCCTCATTGATGGAGAGGTCGGTTTAAGGACAATTACGCAGCGTGTGGCGCTAACTCCCTTAACAACTGGACTTTCAACAGGTGGCAGTATAACGGCTGCCGCTCCAGAGATGGTCACTGTTCCCATCGTGACAGCTAGTCCTCTCGTGACTGACGCTGCCGCACAAGCTCCAACTCGACCTCGTCAACGACGAGGACTGTATCAGCCTCGAACCAACCGACCGGACTTTTGGTTCGATCCAAGTCCTAGCGATGATGAGGAAGATCAATTGCTAAAGATAGCCCGTCGAGCTGCGCGAGAAAATCGACGAGTGACAAGACGACAAACTCTCACATGCCGAACGAATGATAACCACAGCGACAGTGACGAAATGGAGCAGAAGACAACCCAGTGGGTTGGATCTGACTATAGACTTGCTAAGCTCATGGAGAAAGAGCCCCTTGACTTACAAGGCTGTGATACGAATGTGAGCGAGAATGTCGAGAACAACGAAGACTTTACAACTTGCCCGCCCTCCCAGTACCTCAACTCTAATTCTGACATTGATAACGGAGCTAGAAAGGTATGTAACCTAGGACCTTTTCCCTACTCGGGAAATTCCTATCCCCTTTAGATCTTCTCTTCATCGAGTACTTGTACTGATCCGCCGTCATAGAATAGCTCCAAAAAGAAAAAATATCACCGAGCAATTACCGATACCTCGGTCGTTCGAAATATGGCAAAAATAGGTGAGCCTCAGCCCGAGATGTGTCGAATCACATATAAGACGGAGGTTGAGACTAAACGTGGTAATGGTAAATGGATCCACCAAGGCGATATTGTGGAAATGGTCTATGGCAGGATTGTCTTCTGGGACAACAAGGAGTCGATCAAGGCTCTAAATGCATGGAGATACCAGATCTTCAATCGCAACTTCGATAACCTCCGTACAAGTAGACTTCCATGGACAGTGCAAGAGATGGAGTACGTTTATGAACTGCTTCAGGCTCAGTTTGGCCGCGGGCGTCGACGCATCGCTTGGAATAGACTTGCCAATAACTTTAATCGCCACTTCAATGGTGTTCACCAGGAGGCCGGCGCAAGAGTCCTGAAGCAAAGCCAGAAGATACCTGAGATCAAGGAAGAGCGTCTCGTGCCATATCGAAGTGGGAAAGCCATTGAGACAGCATGCTATAAAGACGATGGGGCTAAGGTAATCATGAAGGCTGCTAAGACGACTATTGGTTATGTCAACTCTGATCCTGATGCGGAAGACAACCCAGATTCTGAGGCAAGCGGTGAGGCACAATATGAATCTGAAGACGAGGATATGCTGCCTAACCTGAATCCTTTGACTATTGCAGCATGGGCTCCGAAGCCCAATCATCCCCCAAAAGCTAAGGTGGATGGTGAAAGCGGAAAGGACAAGGGAAAGTTAGTTACCTCTGCGAGCGATAGCGAAGATAATGCTGGTGACAAACCAGGGTCTGATGCTGATGTCAATTCGGACGATGAACCTCTCACCAGGATGGGTAAGAGCAAAAAGGCAACACCTCGGAAGCGAAAGCGTGGGGAGTCGGATAGAAACTTGGAGGAAGGCCAACTAGCGAAGAAGGCAGCCGGCAAGAAGGGCTCAGTCAATGAAGCTCTAGCTAAGAAGGCTCCAGCTAAGAAGGCGGTTGGTAAGATGGCTGTCGTTAATCCTGAAGTTGTTGCATCTTCTGACGAGTCCGATTCCGATGGAATCCCAGCTGTTGCGAAAAATAGCAAGACCACCTCGAAGACTCTGTGAAGAAGTTACCACGGAGGAAGATCATGCTGAAATCGGATTTCCCCTAAAGACTGGATCAACGACCACCCCTGAAAGCAGTGAATCTTCTTAGAGGGATAACGAGTAATCTTGGCCCGAAGATGAAGATGAGCACACATGGAAATAAACCTTTAAGTACTCATTCCTCAAGCATAATCTCGTGGCTGAACATTGAAGGTCCTCGTCTCCTCTTCTTAGTCTCAAAATTCGTCGACTTTCATCTCAAGGCATCTCATCAGTCATTTCTCCATAGTATCCGTGAAGTTAATAATTACGACAATTCAGTGGAATAACCACCCTTCCCAATCTTCAATGGCGGTGTTGACCTTCGATGCAACTCCTCACTATCACTTCTTTACCGGATGTTGATTAGCGTTAATGTTGAAATTTCGGGAATTTTCATAACTTTGAATTCAAAACTGCTTGCCATAGGACCGATATTTTCCAAAGCACATCACCTCGCGCTAATAAGGTGGTCAACGTAACTGTCTCCCCCCTTTGCTTACTCCGCCAATCTTGGATTAGCGCCTGACATGAGTATCAACCGAACTTTCCATGTTGTGTTTACACCAAAAATGTTTTAGGTGAATAAGCCGTCTTTCTTTACACTGGCGGCATTCTGGGCTCGCTACATGATACCCCTACTATGTTTCTGGGTTGCCGCATTTAGCAGGCGTTTCGGTGACGCCCAAATATAAGGAATGACCATTCCGCTTCTTTGATTTCTTTTTGCACTTCATATGATTTGGAAGTGTTTGTTCTGGATTTGTAGCCTACGAGGAAGTTGAATGAGAACAGGTGGGTGTACTTGGAACTCTTTGTACTGTGCCGTATCTGCACCGGCTGGCTGATGCACTGCGCTTCATAGAATACCGTATTTTTTACTGGAATGATAAATTTTTCCTCATAATGATTACTTTCTTCTGGGGTCTGGTAAGTGATAAGTGACCTTGATACGATGATTGACAATGATCAACAACATCTAGATAGGGGCCCGGTTGCACCCTAACTTACATAGATACAACACTTTAAAATGAGATGCTGACTACTTACTTGAAACATGCAATAAACCTAATAGCTAATACAATTCTACATCATTTTTAGGATTTTCAGCCCATCGGCATGTGACATGATCAGCAATCTTGCCTTCTTCCCTCCTAATAGACGGTTCCCTACATCACGGCTACACACTATTACTACGTACCCTAACCTATACATTTCACCCGCTAATAATACCAATAATTAAGTGTAATTAACATTCTAAAGGCTCGATTATGGTAAAGATCCCTCTTGCGCAGCAAGCCATGGGATTTTGGGAATTACCCACGTAGAAATGGAGCACTACATCTATTGATCAGTAAAGTTTTATATGTTTATCAACCAGAAAGAAAGTTAAATCGCTTATCTGCTTTCCGTGCCCACCCAATAGACCCGGTTTAAGCCAGGTCTCTTTGTGCCCAATTTTCGCCAGCTCCACCTCTTCACTCCTCACTCGTCCCCCACCACACTACTCCCCTCCACACCCAGGATTCCTTCACACCTCCTCAACCCACCTGCCCCACTACATTTCACCATTAATATTTACAAATAAGCATGCGTTCTCCATCAAATCCGCGCTGGTGTACCGGTAACATTTCCGCCTCTCAAATCGTAGGTTTAAAGACCGCGGGAGCACGGGGTTCGACTCCCCGGCGCGGAATTTTTTTATTTTTTCAGCATGCGGTTAGAATTTAAGGTGATATTTACAGAAACGGTCGAAAATTTTTGATATCACGGATTTTATGCGAGATGAGGGTGCGGCGGATGGCCAAACGGGACGCCGTAGAGATTACGGGCGGCGGATGGGTTGGGCCGTGCAGTCTTAAGAGAGTGAAGGCGATATGAGCAGGCGGCACGTTGGGAAATAACACCATTTGTGGGACATCCTGCTTTTTTCATGTCTCACCAATGACCTATTACGGCACTGATTCTATTTGCTATCTCACTACCGAGCTTGAGATCAGAAAGGGGCTCGCTTGTTTTTCGCTAAGTGCGGGGTAGCTGTGTGGTACGGGGTACAATTTTACAAGTCACAGTCATGCAGCTTTTATCTAGAATGAAAGGGGCATTAAAGATTATTACCTGAATTAGGACCTACCCACTTCGAAATTTATAACGATGAAATGAACAAGATCGCCTCACGAGACTCGTTGTTTGGCCAGGGCTTTCGTCGAGTCTTCTCCCTATCGTTTTGGTGACATGGTTGAATCAGTTGAGTGATTCTTTCGCACCTTGCGTACACTGCCTGTGAAATTAGCTAAGATCTGCACCTGGTCAACCTTATTACTCAATTTGATGACACCTTTCCTGCCCGTCAATTTGTTATCCTTTTTCCTGACACAAAGCTTTAAAACCTGAAGAATATGTCCGCTAGTTAATGAAATGACGTAGTACCTCAAACCTCAAAGATATTATCTATGGCTCTTATTATTATCTCGAGCCTTCTACTTGTCGTTGTATATAATCCCGTTCATATGCTCCGTAGTTCTGGGAATTTGCATTAGTTTCTTGGGTCTGTATTGCAAGTTGAAATACGTTATTGCCGACCGCGAAGCCGTTACTAGGTCCGTATCACTTTTCTTGTAGTCGGGCCATCCATCTAGAAGTTATTTGAGTAGCTTACTAAAGTTTTCAAAAGACAGAACAAGGCAAACTGCTTCCCATCGCCCTTCTCTGCCCTAGCTGCTGTTTCTTCCACTTCATTGGACTCGACTGGTTCGTGAGAATTGGCAATACGCTTGTATTATTTGATTCAGGCAACTCGTCGATTTTAAAAGATGCAAAGTGATTCTCCAAAGCTTCAAACTCGCTGTTCGTTGGCACGGAAGTTGAAGATCCCTTACGGCGACAGAAACGTCAAAGCAAGACTGGAGTATTAAAATGATCTTGACTAGGAATGAGGTAAAGTAAGAATGCCTACGATGTGCTATCGGAGCCTTCCTGCCATATTTTGAGATATATTGTTTGAGAAAAGAAGTGCATTGTTTCGAGCAGTTACCACATGTCTAACAAGTAAAATTATAGAAGGAATTTCGATTGTAGGGGTGGCCTTGGCACCTGCTTTAGTCTGTGGGAAGAGCTCTTTTCGACAACAATGGCGTTGGTATCGACATCCGCCTGTGCTGGTGTTCTTCACATCGGCTTGTGCTGTCTCTTTTATGCGTGAACTTCGGTGGGCCAACTAGCATTTGCCAGAATAGTGTAGCCACACATTATGCATCCTCATTAAGTCGTCCCAAAAACCACAGACGTATCATATTTGTATTTTCTGTAAGTGCCTTCGAGGAAACTTGGCAGCGCCTGGAAGACACTCTAGAGACATTTAAGTAATAGGAGGCAGGACCTGAGGAGGTAGGGCTTTCATAATTAAGACAGTTACATGAGCAAGGATGGTGAAGAATAAGAATAGAATGCAAGGTAAGTCCACTCTAAATCTAGCATTTGATGGTAAACAGCGGGACGGAGTATATTGTTTTAGTACAAGGATATTTTACTGAGGAGAAAAAATCGCCTTTCAAATAATGCCAAGATAATACCAGTATTAATTCGAGCTGGGATAATATGGAGGTTTTCAACAATGTATGGCTATAGTATCTACACCTGTTGATAGTTTTGATCCATGGTAAGAAAAGGGTTGTAAAGATATCCCATTCTCCATTTTAGACTCCAGGTATCTATCCTAGTCCTATCATACAGCATTCGTCTAATCTTACACTGTCCATCCTACCCAGCAACAAAAGAAATCCCCTCACTTCTCATCCTTGTCATCATCATCCTCTGGCGGCTGCTCCAAAATAACCTCCGTAACCTTCTCACCCCTTCTTGCCCCGTCACTCATAGAAATCTTATACTTCCCACCCAACACCAAATCTTTCGCCACAATCTCCCTCGTTCTCCCCAAACTCTCAATATCCCCTATTCTTTGAAGAGTCTTCTCCAGATGATCCTCAAAACCCGGCTCTTCACATATGGTTTTGAAAGCACGTTGCATAGGGACAGAGTCAGCACGAACAAAGGCTTTGGAGGTGATGGTGAAGAGGTTGACATGGTCGTATTCTTTAATGAAGTCGGCGCGAGTCATAATGTAGCGGGCCGTGTGGAGGGGGATTTGCGGGATGTTATGAGAGCCGTCGGGGGCGGGGTGGTCTTGTTGTTCTCGCTCTGCTTTAACAAGGGCGAGAGCTAGGACCATTGCTGCAGACTTTAAATCCAAAATTAGTAACTTCGCAAGAGCATGAAAGGACGAAACCTTACAGCGTATTTCTGCTGGTCCATGACATCGTCATCCATCTCCATACCAAGGATCCAGCACTGATTCAAGAACCATCGTCGCTCGGTATCAATAATTTCGTCACATGTTTCTAACATATCTACCGACTTAGCGACACGATTGAGAAATGTTAGGCGTCCCCCTACGCGATTGTAGACCTCGGCTAAGATTTCGGAAGTGGGCGTTTCGTTGAAGTATTTTTGGCGATATTTGGCGAGCGCATTGAGTGCTTGCCCTTTTGGTAGGTCTGTGATCGCAGTGACCTCCATGCGTGTTGCGAGAACCTTCAGGCGCTCATAGACCCAGTAATCATCGCTGTTGAAAACCACTGTGACCAGGTTACTTGCTGCCCATTGCTCGGCTCGCTGCTGAAGCAATTCCAAAAGATCCCGCCCATCTTCATCATCTCGTAGCAGATGCACGGCGTTGATGATTAACACTAGAGGCTTGCCAACTCTTCGTCGTCTCTTCAAAGCCACCTTCTCCAACTTGTTGAAAGCACGCTCGATATCAAGCAAGGCTGTCGAATCTCTCGGACCTCTCTCGGAAAAATACGATCCGATATAGTCTTCATGGAACTCGAAGTCTAACGCTTTTCCGAGACGAACTCTGAAGATCTCCAGATCTGCGTGCGTTTCAAACATACTAATGCCCTCGCCATCAACCTTCTTCATGGCATCGAGCAACATACTAGACTTGCCGGTGCCCTTTTCACCGATAAGAAGGTGGTAGTGACCACGATCAGTGCCATTGACAATAGCATCAATTTTGGCCTGCTCATCTCTCAATATCCAGTGATCATCACCCGGAGGTCCCCCACTTGCGATTGTGTTTGGTACCTGTTTGCCGATCGCCGCAAGCTCAAGGACTGGGTCTCCAGGCTCAAACGCGCCTTCCATCTTGTGCAGCACGAGCCATTTATAGAAACGGTGGTAGAGGTAGCCTCCAAGTCCAAAGCCTGTTCCTAGTACGAGGAGTGATGCAAGCGCAGTCGCTGCTGATTCCAGCATTTTGGAAGAGACTGACTGAGAGTCATTTTGATTTGTTGAGCTATGACCTGCTGTTCCTTTGGTAGCTGCCTCTTCCGCTGCAGGCCATTGTCCAGATCCAGATTGTCTAAATGCCCGTTGAAGTGGTCTCCGCCTGAATGGTGATTTCCTTAGGGTACTTTGTGACTGATTCGTCGCAAGCTGCCTACATTGGGATCCCCATGCGTGCCTGCAGTTCTGAAAGGCCCAATTTCCTCCTGAAAATATGTCAACACAGCCTAGACAGATGCCAAAACCCCCTCAGTTTCGTGTCGTATATCACGTGACCACTCCATTCAGCGTCCTCGTCACTTGACTTGGTCTCACTTGAGACAATCTTCTGGTGTTGCTTCTGCCGCAATGATGAGGCGAGCCAATACCGGAAGCACTTTAACAGCCAGCTCGATGCTGGATGCCAGACATCCGTCAAAGTTAAGATGATCCGATAATTTCGAGAGATCTATGCAGTGTGGCTGCAGAATCTGGGGTGCATGAAGTCTGACACGCGATGGCAGAAGTCGGGACGCGATGGTGGAAGGGTATTGTAATGTCACACTTGCGATGCCGATAGCCATGAAGCAAGCCATGCTGATGAGATAGATGACTTACGACTATGAATATGGCCTAGGCTAGTTCTTCCCGTGGCAAAGCGTCTGTAGTGATGTTGCACAACGATTGACGCGGTTTGGGGTCGGTTTTCGGTGACGTGTTGCAATAGGGTGGGCGGTGGCAATCGATATGTGCGCCCCAAACCAGCTGCCAGCCTCATCATCGCCCTCTGCGCAAGGAGGAGAGAAGGTTGCAAGCGATATGCTATTTATGTCGTGATATGTGGTGTGTGCAGTTAGGAAACATGCTGCACAGTTTGGAGTTGAAGGTTTGTGTTGTCAACGCTCGGAGAATGCGCAGCTATCTGCTGAGTGCTTGGCCTTCCCCCAATTTAACTCCAACAAGCTTGGAAGGACTGTCCCAAGGAACTTCACCCATTCTCGTAGGCTAGACTCTCAAAACATATACCTTTATTACCAAACTTAACTTATGATGCTCTTTTATGGCAATCTTAATTCTCTGTCAGAGAGATCGGACGATCATTGCGGAGAGAAGCCTTTGAGACGTTCGATTAAAGCCGCTCAGTAGTCTGGTTGGTAGGGATACCTTTTGACAGGACAACCGGCCTGCCCTGTAACTACAGTAGCTCAACATCTAGAGTTACATCCCGAGGTTTAGATTCAGGGGCATCATTAGTGCTAGACAACTTCGTCTTTCACTTCGATCAAGTTATCAATAGTAACAGATTTTTCTGAACACCCGCGATATCCTCAGATGCAAGTTCACGGCCGCTGCAGTTTGTAAAGCACGATT